CTACAGACCGAAGATGAACGGAGCAGTAGAAGCAGCAAACAAAAACATTAAAAAGATAGTGGAGAAAACTACTGAAACTTACAAAAACTGGCATGATAAGTTGCATTTTGCTTTGTTCGCCTACCGAACCTCGGTACGAACCTCGACTGGGCAACCCATTTTCACTAGCTTATGGAATGGAAGCAGTGCTGCCCATTGAAGTAGAGATTCCATCACTCCAAGTCTTGACAGAAGTCAAACTGGATAACGCAGAATGGGTCCAATCCAGATATGATCAACTTAATCTGATAGAAGAAAAGAGACTGAAAGCCATTCACCATGGTCAAATCTATCAGAAACGAATGATTCGAGCACATGAAAAGAAGGTGCGCCCGAGAATATTCCGCGAAGGAGATCTAGTGCTAAAAAGAATTTGGCCAGTCTAGAAAGATTCCGAGGAAAATGGACGCCAAATTGGGAAGGACCTTATGTCGTGAAAAAGGCCTTTTCCGGAGGAGCACTTGTCCTGGCTGAAATGGACGGACCAGAACTACCACATCCCGTCAATTCAGATGCAGTCAATAAATACTTCGCTTAAGAGGAAAACCCGAGAGGGCGTCCTAAGTCGAAGAAAGAAAAAGAAAAAATGAAAAACGTTTAGGGTGAAAACCCGAAAGGGCGCCCTAAATAAAAAAAGAAAAAAAGAAAAAAAATAATAAGGCGGGTTCAAGATGAAAACCCGCAAAGGGCGTCTTGCAACCAAGAATGGGTCGAAGTTGAAAACCCGAAAGGGTAATTTGGATATTGACTCAAGAAATCTGTACAATGGAAATATCCAGGCATCTGAATCTTCTGCAGACTTAACGAGTCGGAAAAAGGTTGCACTCTCCAGAACGTTGTCGCATTTTCAAAGATCCCTAGACAAAGGTTACGCTAAAGGTCACCTAACGGCTTCTCAGCTCAAAATGCCCACATTATCGAGATCTAAGACATTCTTCATTCATGTATCATTTGTTCTTTTTCCCTTATGAATAAAGACAATCTTTTATATAAATCAATTTCTTTTTGAGCATCTTGAATTGAACTTAAACCTAATGATTTGTTTACTTCTGCAAAAGATAATCACATATTACTGTACAAAGATTCATTGAAAAGTACAGGTACTCGAAAGCCGATCAAGGCTCATGCACATACTTGAGATGGTCGAGAAGCATTTCCCAAATAAAAAATATATAGAATGTGCACATCAGATTTGAATATTTGAAGAATTCAAGATTCTAAATGCAAGATTCCATACAAGCAACCAGAGATCGAGACTTCTCTCCAGAGCCCAAAACGACATATGTTGCATATGCATTTTAGGCATACCTAAGAGCATTGCATCCATAACATCACATATATGCATAACTTTGCAGGTCTTAGCTAGAGCCAATTTCAACTTCACAACGAAGGATATCTATCTCAAAGCCAAACTTCACAACGAAGGGTCATCCACGGTTTCAACTTCATGGCGAAGGGAATTGTATCCACCCGCAACATATAATACTTGGATTTCAACTTCACGATGAAGGATATTCAAGTCAAGGCTCAACTTCACGACGAAGGGGCAATCCACGATTTTAACTCCACGACGGAGGATATCGTGCCATTTGAGGCTTAACTTCACGACGAAGGGGCTTCCCATTTTCAGAACCAATTTCAACTTCACGGCGGAGGATATTGGACTCGAAACAATACAACTTACTTGGATTTTCACTTCACGAGAAGGATATTCAAGCCAAGGCTCATTTTCACGACGAAGGGGCCACTCACGGTTTCAACTTCACGACGAAGGGAATCTTGCACACAAGCAACATCCATCTCTAGATTGGATTTCAACTTCACGACGAATGATATCCAACTCGAAGAAGGATTGTCTGTCAAAAAACATTCCAGTTTCAGGGTCAATTTCAACTTCACAACGAAGGATATTGGCCTCGGAACAGCGCAACTTACATTGGATTTCAACTTCACGGCAAAGGATATCCAATTCTCAGGCTCAACTTCACGACGCAGGGGCCATATACGATTCCAATTTCACAAACATATTGACCCAACTTCACGACAAATGAGTCATCTGTGACACATCAACACAAAAGTCTTCAGGTCAAGTTTCACCTTCAAAACAAAGTATCTTGAGCTAGAAGGCGATCCATGAGTCACTTGCCAAAAGCTTTAAGTTCAATTTCAACTTCACAACGAAGGATATTGTGCTCAGAAGTTTCCAGTTTAACTCGACCTCATGATGAGAGAGTCATTTCATATTTCAGTTCAAATTGACAAACCAGCCTTAACATCGAATTTCAACTCTACAACAAAGGGCATTCGATATGAACGAAATTCGTGTCTTTTAATCTTTGCTCTATTTTCGTTACACGAAAACAAGCAAAGAGGGGCAGCTGTAGACACATCATTTCTGGTCCAAGACCAATAAATTAGGGACAAGGCCCAAACAACCAAAACCCAAGGGGCCCAAGACTTGTTCTAAGATCAGGGTTTCCAGGAAACCCTATTGCGCCACTCTCCGTCCATCAGTTCATCCCAACGCCGTTCCAACCCCACAACCGCGTTCTCCTCCGGATTTCTCGGCACCAATGTCAAACATGCAACAACCATTAGACTTTAGGAAGAAAATGGAGACTAAAAACAGTATTTTATTGTCCTATAAATAAATGTAACGTTTATAGACATGGGGACACAAGGATTACGCTCAAAATACCAGAAAAATACTATACAAAGTTGAAATCTTTTGTAACTCGTTTTGCAGTGAAATAATAGGTAAAAATCTTACCTTGTTTTCGGTTCGTTCTCTTGCATGCATGTCGTTTATACTCCATTTTGGTTGATTCGAAACAAAAAGCCAATAACAGAGGAGGGAGGATTTTTTGAACCTTCGTTCGTAGATCTACTCTCTTCGAGGCTTGATCTAAAAAAACTATTTAGATTTTTGGAACGAGTATACGAAGGGCTTTAAAAAAATAGAAACTTTTTATATTTTGTCGCCGGTGAGCGGCGGTTGGCGCCGTTCAACGGCGGCTGGCAAGGCGGCGCAACGACCGGAATCTGGAAAATGGGGTGGTTGTTCTTCAGCTTGAAGAACAAACCAGAGAAAATAACAAATGGGGGAAGATGTTTCTGTTTGGAAATGAGAGAACAAATGAAGTTTAATATTTTTTAACTTAAATACTCGGCCCATTAACCCGATTTAGATCCGCGCGTTAACCCGACCCATTCTGCAGGATCCGTGTGTTTTTGTTAAAAAAAAGGGAAACTACACTTTTAATCCTCTTGAATTTTTTAAGGCTCAATATGATCCCTAACTCCGATTTTAAACTCAATTTTATTTCGAATTTAACTTTCTAATATGACTTTCTTAAATTTACCCCTTATATATATATATATTTCGCAATTAATTTTTATTTTATTTAATATATATATATTGTTATTTATTATTTTTTTTTTTTCGTTATCATTATTGTTTTCATGTATATAAATATATATATATATATATATATTTCTATTTATTTTCTATATTTTTATTTAATTCTTTTTATTCATTATTATATTATATTATTTTTTTTAAATTTTTTGTCTTTATTATTATATATATTATTTTATTATTTTATATACCTATACAAACCTACCTAACCCCACATTATCTTCATTCACTAAATTTTTCCTCCCCCAATTTCGTTGAAATGATAGGAGAGTTGTTTAATATTATTATATATATATATATATATATATATATATATATATATATTTAAACATTACCATATATATATATTATTAACTATTATTTTTGTAAATCTTTATGTATATATATACATATTTTTATAATTAATATATATATATATATATATATATTCTATTTATTTTCTATGTTTTTTATTTAATTTCGTTTTTATTCATTATTATTATATTATATATTTATTTTTAAATCTTTTATCTTTATTATTATAATATATTATTTTATTATTATATTACTTATACAAACCTACCTAACCCCACATTTGTCTTCATTCACTAAATGTTTCCTCCCCAATTCGTTGAAATGATAGGAGAGTTTATTAATTAATATTAGTATATATATATTATTAATATGATGTTGTTTTTTATCTATTTATTTATTATGTGTATATGTTATCTTACTATTATTATCTTATATTTAATTTACTTCATTTTTTTATTTTGTTTATTATATTTTATTCACGTTATTTATTTATCTTTTTTATTTTTTTGTTTACTTTATTTATTTATTTTATTTTATTTTCTATGTTTCTTTATTTACATGTTTATTTTATTTACCTTTTATCTTACTTTTTCATTCCTTTATTCTTTTTATTTTACTTTCTCTATTTTATTCATTTATTTTTATTTGTACTTTTATATCTAACACATTTCTTGACTTTTTAAGGATATCTTCAAATCAATCTAAGGTAAGCAATTTGGATCGTTATTTATCTTTTAATTTTCTTAATTAAAGACAACTGGAAATTACATAGTACGAAAGGGCAGTTCAAGGGTGTTAACCCTTCCTTGATTGTAATCGACTCCCGAATCCGACACATCTTTGGTAAGACGCAGATCATAAAGAAATAAGATATCCGATATACCCATTTGTTTTAAAATAAAAGATCGGTGGCGACTCCAATCCATTTTCCTAAGTCGAAGCCCAATTCCGGAGTCCAACCGAAAGACGGTTCCGACAGAGCTTAATGGTTGAAGGATAATTAGAATATTCAAAAGTTTAAGGACTAATTTAGAATGAGAGTCATAGTTTGAAGATGAAACTAGAATATTCAAAAGATCAATTTAAAATGAGGATTATAATATGAGGACGTATGATGCAATTAACTCATTTTTTATAATGTCAACCTCATTGTTCAAAATTTCCAAATAAACCATTTTTATTCTTTATAGGTAACAAAATTAGTTCTCAATATTTAATTATTTTTCAATTTTGCCCATAAAATTTTTAAACAACATCAACCTTGTTATTTCAAAAAATTCAAATAAACCTTTACTATAACCGGGTACATCAGATTCGAACATCCGATCAGAGTACTGCACATAACATCATATTCGAACATGATATTCATTATTAGTATTCAGATTTAGACAATCTAATGGAAACATATACAATAGCAGTTTCTCCTTTCATTAAACATATAAAAAGAACAATTAAGTTAAAAAAAACATCGCATTTTCTCAGTCCACAAGAAAAGGGAAGCAACAATAATATCGAGATGGAAAGCAAATCATTTGTTTCGACGAACAATCCCTCTTTTACCTGGAAAACAAGTTGAGTCCAGAAACTAAACCAATGATGAATGCTCCTCAAAAGAATACTTACGTTATCCGAGCCTCCGAAAAAACCAAGCAACACAAAGATGATCCTGACTAAGAGATTAAGACAGTGTTCTAGAGGGACTAACTCGGGTAATCAGAGGTCTTTCGATGACTTCCTTTTAGATGGATCCCGGCTGAGTCCATGCTTCTTCAATGATTTGATATAATCTCTCATGAGGGTAAACTTGTTGCTCCCAAGATTATAGAAGTAGTCCCAAGAATATATTCCGGTTTTATGCAAATCATCGAAAACTAACCTGATCCGTCCACCCGGAAATAACACAAGTATCAATAAACAAGGGAAAACTCATTCAATCCAACCATACGTAAACTCTATCAAGTAAAATGATCAAACGAATAACTTAGAGAAGCTACCTAACCCCATAGTTTCCTACAGGTTCAGCAGACATTATCCCGACATGGCGTCTTCCGGATATAACCTGAGAAAGGAACCTCAAGAAATCACAAACCAAACTTGCTCATCTAAAAGAGAGAGAAATTAAAAACCTTTTCACCGCCGATTGACCGAATCTTGCCATCAGCAGCAGGGCTGTAAACTCTCAAAAACTCTGCTGACAAGCTAAACTTGATGCCATTTGCATACTCCACATCTACCTGAATTCGTTTTTCAACATGGCACATGAGAATTTCAGTACGAGGATAGATATACAATCTACACAGCATGAATCAAAGAAAATTTAATGTCACTGCCATTAAAAAACAGATTAAGCAATATATATAACTCGAAATTCTGAAGAAAAGAAAACGTAAATTCGCAAGAAGGAAATTCAATAATTCGACAAGTAAACTAATCTATAACTTTTTTTGGCAATTTTCATAATCACCCAAATGATTATTTCCACTTCCAAAGAGACAAAATAAAGCAAAAATCAAATGGGTGCTCAAAAAACTTATGTAGATAAGATTATATACCTAAAGAAAAAATAATACGAAAATAATTGGAAAACATAAAATATACACTTTTGGGTGCGTTAAGAGAGAAGCTTTTGAGGTGCGGTGCATCAACGAGAGTGTGGATCCTTTGAATTGCTCTCCGCATAGCCATAGATGAGCTGAACTGAGCTAACATTGTTTTGTTCGAACTGACTCGCTTTTTCTAGTGGGAAATACAGATTGTTGGATCTGATCCTTGCTTTTGTTGGACAATTTTGGCCCATTACGTTTAATATTTTAGGCTACTATTGGGCTTCATTTATCATTATTTTCTTCATTTCCCCTTCATTTTTAGACTTTATATATATATATATATATATAATATTTAAACTATATTTTTTTCAATTTTGATACATACAGATTTTTTATTAAATTTAATCCTTAATTTATTAATTAGTCTAAATTCTAAAAAAATTAATAAAAGTGTGACGTGCTATGATCTTATTAGTTTTTTAAGTGAGCTGTATAAAAGATTGTAAATTGTGACCCTCATTATAAATTAATTGTTTTATTTTTGAGATAAAATTTAATTATTTTATTCAATTGTGATGGTTTAATTAATTTATATATAAGAAACAAACCGAGTGGTATACACCCTGTGTTTATGTATCAGTTGGTCTAAACAAACTCCAATAAAGCTTTTTCTAAAAGCACATATCAATGTTGAAGATAATATTAAAATATAAATATCTCTGAATTCTAATAATTAAACTTTAAAAAAATATTTTTTAATTAATGAATAATAATTTAAACCAAACCAAAGTAGAGAAAACTTTATCAGGTTGGCCCTTTCACGAAACTTTAATGTATTCTAATGCAGTTGGCAATAAATAAATAAAACAATGAAGTCATAAATTATTTATCCAAAATTTATATAAAGCAGTGACGAAAGCAGTGACGATTGCATTGACGAAACTTGAATATTTGATGATCATGTAGTGATCTCATGATTAAGTTTAAATTATTTGGTGTTCTATAATTATTTAGTCAAATCTGTCACTATAATTTGTTATGCTGTCAATTCATACCATTTCTTTTCCCATTTTACTTTTGCTGAGGCTTGCTTTACTAATCAGATTGACCCTATGATTATGAGAAAATGCTACGACCAAACATACGTAAGAGATACGTCTACGTATCACCAAATAATGAGTACGAATTTATGCACAACACTTGCGATACTTGTGAAAAAGCAAAAGCTTGGAATCTTTAATAATGATATATGTGACAAACTGATAATATAAAGAAATTTATACAGTTTCACCAAACCACAGAAATTTCTTTAAAAACATGGCTTTCTTGATAAGAGTTTCACAGCCTAAACACAAACCTTCATCAATCTGAATCACTTTTCTTTTCCCAGGAGGAATGAATTTTTGGTTCCAGAGGAATAAAGTTTTCATCCCATGAGAGAAATGAATCCACACAATCAACCCATTGCTTCAAAGAGTCTTCTTCTTGAGCCATTGAAGGATTGTTGGATCCTTCCATCAAAAACGAAGATGTGTATGAAGAATCCAAATCGAAGCTTCCACACAACATTACGTAGTCGTTCAACAAATCATTTGTTTCACCCAAAGTCACTTGAATTTCTTCAACCTCCTTGCATGGAGCATCATCCGACTTTGACCTATCTTCTTGTTTCTTATTACCATCGGTTTTCTCGACAGGCTTGTGTGTCACGGGGTCTAAACCGAGCAGCTTTCTTGATTTTAGTATTCCAATGATTCTTGATTTCATTGTCGGTTCGACCGGGAAAATGCGAAGCAATCTTAGACCACCTGGAATTAAAATCTCAACATCTGCAATCTGTGGTTATATATTCATGAACTGGGTGATGTTTTTACCTGTTACCGAGACGAGAATGAAGAAGAACAATCTCATCTTCTTGGAATTCCGTAAATGATCCTCTCTTAAGATCTGGTCTAAGATAATTTATCCATCTTAATCTGCAACTTTTCCCCCATCTTGAAAGACCTGCATTGTACCATACAAATCAGACCAAAAACATAACTATAATAAGCACTTGATATGCAAGAAGAGAAACATTACCGGCAAGCTTGGGAACATGTCGCCAGAAAGGAATAGTACCATTGTTGAAGATAAAGTTCATCAGCTTATGATCTTCGTTGATCGTCCATGGACCTCGTTTTAATCCAACTTTATCGCAACAAGGCTTTCCTCCCATTTTCAAAAAAACAAAATAGAAATCTGAAAAGGGTCTTTAGATGCTAAGCTAACTGATGTTGTACAAGAAAAGAAAAAAAAAGACAAATATAGATGATGATTGAACGCATGAATGATTTACAAGTGTGTATATATATGGAGTAAACGTGGGTCGTTTTCGTTGACAAATTTTATTCGTGCAACTAGCCTTTCTTCTCCTCGGTTTTCGATTAATTTACATTAAAACCAAGGAAAGTTTTAAGACAGTTTCAGGGATTTTGTTTTCTGCCCAGTTATTGATGCTGGAGATGTTCCTTCACCAGATACCCAAAGTGCTCTCTAATTCCAACCCTGGATTTACTTGAGTTTTGTAAAAGGAAAATTGCTCCTACTCTATTCTTTTTAAATAATTTAATTTAACATAATATTATCCTTTAATTATAATATTATTATCATATTTATAATGATTTTTTTAGTAATAATAACTATTTTTATTGAATAAATAAGGAGGAAATTCAATAAAAAATATAATATTAAAGAAAAAAAGTTTATAAAATATACAATAAACTAATCGCATCAACTTGACATTTTCTCTTAAAATAATAATAAAAAAATAATTATTAAAATCATGTGATGATCTAAAATAGGAATAGATCAATAAAATAGTCAACTAAATATAAATAAAAAAGACAATAACGAATTCAATAATTAAAAAAGTGTGGTATAAAAATAGATAAAAATATTGAACAAATAATGAAAAAATATAACAAAATATCCATCAAGGTTATAACTAAACTAGACAAAAAAAAAAAAGTAAAGTAAACTCACTCGTGTTTTTTGTTCAAGATAGTTTTAGTTGGTAATGAGAATGGTTAAGTCAGCAGTCAAACTCTGGGTTAGAAAACAACAAAACTGAAATAAAAACTCATGTCTTTCGTTCTTAGTTTTTCTTTTTCTTTTTTTCGTTTGAAATCAAATTAATGGTGTTTTAAGCAATCGTCTCCTGTTTTTCCTGTCTCTGTTTCTTTAGTTAAAATAATTTGCATCGTTTCGGTTGTTAAACGACTTTTAAGTTCTAACTAATCAAAATAATAATAATAATAATAATTATTCTGATGATCTTTTTTCACAAGAAACTTCAAAAGTATAATTATACGATTATCAAACCAGTATCGTATGTTATTGAATTATATTAAAATATCAAATGATAATAGAATGATAGTTAAATTTAAATTTTTATAATTTTTATAATATTGTAGTGATTCATTTCTAATAATTCCATAAATTTAATGATCATTTCATAATTTTAAAAGTTCAATAATTAAAATGATCATTAAATAAATTTAATAACATTAATTTGCAAGGAAATCGGAACTATTATTCATTTTAATATTACAATATTTTAAAATACATTTTCTAGTTAATTAGAATTGATGGGCAAAAAAATTATAATTAGGATTAAAATTAAATAATAATTAAAATAAAATTATTAAACTCAAATAATAACTCAATACATTTTTACTTTTTAATCAACAAGAATTTAGAGATTAAATATTATCTGCATAATTCGGACATTTTAATCTTATGATTTCCCAGTAGTTTCCCCCGTCTTTCTATCTAACACTGTAAATAGAATTGTGTTACATTAAATGAATCAAACTATATTCGCTACAAATAGTACATTTTAATTCACATGAAACCAATAATGTTATTGACAACATCTCAATAAGGTGTGCAGTACTCAAAAGAAAGTATTCTCAACGCACTAATCTAACTCCGTTGTTGGATGATGATGACATCTTACATTTACATTCAACAACCAAACCCATTTTATTTACGTTAAACTATTGTTTTTCCTTTAATTAAATACGGTATAAGTTTATTTCTTTATGATAATTTAAAATAAATTTTTAAAGATTTAGATGCATGAAGATTTTTTTTAAAACACTTTTTATTAAGACTTTTTCTACCGATAGAAAGAAATGGAAGACGAATTTTCGAGCAAAGAATAAGAGTAATTCTAATAGATACATAATTTATAATTTAAAATATATGAAAAAAATGAATAATTTAATCAATCGATCAAATATAATTATTCTTATAAGATTTTCATTCTTGTACTAAAGGTAAATTTTATATTTCGTCTTTTATTTTAATTGTTAATTTTAAGAAAAATAATGACTTGATCACCTATATTATCAATCTCTTTTATATAATTACTGAACTAAAATAATCATTTATTTTATAATGAACATATTAAAAATAATTTTAAATTGGATCCTTAATACTTTGAAATTTTTTATTTTTACACTCTCATTAGAGAAACAAAAAACTTTCTTCCTCCAAAAAATTATCTTCTTTTAACTCGCATTTAGCCAAATTGTCGGTGTTCTCGCTAATGATGAGAAACTTGGGAAAATTTGAGAGCTATCTAAATAACCAGAGTTTCATTGTCAACCGCCAAACACAGCAACCACAAGAAAACTCACCTCATCGACAGCCCAACAAAGAGCTCCGGTCCCAAAATCCACCGATACATCACAATCAGTCACTGCCACAACCCTGCTTTCCATCCCTGCATATATCAAGCCCACAATCAGAGACCACAATACCGATCTTGTTCCCCCATGATCGAGCCGGTATAAAAGACCATTGTCACAAAGCGAGCTATATTTGTGTAAAATTGAAGTTTCTGACGTATATACATATTTACTAAAGCATACTAAACACAATTCTTTAGACGTTTACATAAATTGGTATGCTTCAATTTGTCATTGTCAAAAGATCTATCTTTCGATGGTATTCTTCTAAATTGCAACGTATGGTGCAAGTTCTCTGAGTACGCACGTTGAGCTGCTACTGTTCTATAATGTATCATGTCTGTTCAAGTAATGGAAAGTAAAACAGGTATGTGACTGGTAAGGGTGATTTGTAAGTTTCATTTGAGCCTTTGATAAGTTGGTTGAATATGGTAGGATGTGGAAATCATCTCCAGAAAATAGGTGATCCTTTCCACTCTGTAGGTATTGTTCTACCATTAAGAATCTGCTTATGAACAAGGTGATGGGAAGAAGATTGATGGCAGAAGGTTCTTGTAGATGTTGAGCGAGGAAGCCTGGTAGGACAGTCCCAAATTGAGGTGAAGATGTTTATTCAAAGGTACTTTTGTGGTGTTTATGCATCATATTGTAATGCTGATGCATAAATCATTTCATAGTTGCTTAAGCATGGCCACATTTAATTCAGGTGCTTCCAGAGAAATTAGTTGAAGTCCAAGATTTTTGCTTGGCTGATGTTCTCATATAACTTGAAGTCCACTATTACCATATTTGGAACCAACACTTATGTTATTTTGGGTTTCATCTTGAAAACCAACTACCATTTTCCTATACGCCCAAATAAAACCCAAACCAATTTAACTAAGTATACACCATTAATCTCAAACCCTCACATTAACCTAAGGGATGTTCTTAAAACGGTAGTCAGTAGGTCAATGGCTTTGATATTAACGGTTCAAATGAGTTAGGGATGGGCATTGTAACATCCCAAAATACGGGTTAGTGATTAAATTGTAAAGTTCAGAATTTGGTGAATGATTTGTTCGGAAATATTTCCTAAAAGTTTATAGTAACTTATCAAGAATTAAAGGGCAAAATGGTCATTTTAGCATGAAAGATATTTCCCCAATAATATGAATGAATCACGTGGGGGTGGGGAAAAGTTATCTGAAAACTCTTTCTTCTTCCTTTCTTCTTCTCCAACCGTGAAAGCTAGGCAAAGGTAAGGGGTTTTCTGATTTGTTGATTATTTGTTAAATTAAAGGTTAGGTTTGATCATTAGATGATAACTAGCTTAAGGAAAGCTTAAGTTGTCTTATAATCAAAAGATGAAGAAGTTATAATAGATTTAAGAAAATGAGTTTTTATATGAAATTATGGGAAAGAGTTGATAAGTTGAATTTGAAGTTAAATTTGACTTGTCATCATGTTAATTAAGGAATATGAAGTGTTAAAATTGTATTTAGAACATATTGAAATTTGAGTATGATTCTTGAATTACATATGAATGATAGAATTTTGAAGTTATAGATGATTTTCATGGATATAAGTTGGTTTAAGTAATGGTAGTTGAGTTTAATGACATGATAGAGGTTTAAAATAGAAGAATTAAGTGAAGAATTGATGATTTTCGGGGTTAAAATACAATTTCTGGGTAGAGGGAACCGATACCCTGTGAAGGGAATCGATTCTCCCTCTTGGACGAAAATTCCAGTATGTGCAGGGGGAACAGATTCCCCCCTGGGGGGGTATCGATTCCCCGGGAACAGATTCCCCCTGGGGAGGTATCGATTCCCCCATAAATGAAAAAATGGAATTTGATTCATTAAATCAGTTTAAGTTATTAACATCAAGTTTAAAGTTTAGGCTTCTGATAGTTGTTTTGAAATGATATATTTATGTAGATATTGACCCTAAACAAGTTCCGGAATAATCAAAGGATTATAATCGAATCAAAGCAAGGCTAAGGTGAGTGCAATTTTAATTGTACTTATATTATTGAACGAACATTGGCTTGCGATGAGCCAATGATGGAGTTACTACGGTAAGAAGTGACTCTTAAAATGTTATTTGATATGTGATTCTTATATGTACATGAATACATGATATGCATAAACATAAGAGCATGAAACATAAGATATATGATATGATATACATGATTATATGCATATGTGATATATGCTATGAGATATGACCAATGTGAAATGAAATAAGCTATGTGAATATATGAAATGACATATGAATATGCAATATGTGATATGATATGAAATATATGGTTACACATACATGTGGTATGTGACAGAAGAGAAAGAATAAGTGATGAGAAATATATTCATAATAAATGCCCATAGTATATGATACGAGAGCTATAGGTATAGTTGGCATGCCAAGAGTCGAGGGTATTGTAGTCCTTCGGGACGTAGTGGTCCTACGGGACATATATAGCAGTCTTTCGGGATGAATA